TTATCCCTATCTGCACCTGAGGCCGGCGCTGGCACCTCCTGTGGGATTGGCCTCCCTTTAGCCTCTCCCTGCCTCCCTTTTCCAGCTCTTTATCCGCATCTGCACCTGAGGCCGGGGCCTCCCATGGGATCGGCCTCCCTTTGGCCTCCCCCTGCCGCTGCTGCCTCCTTTTTCCCGCTTTTTATCCCCACCGGCTTCTGCGGGATGCAGGGGGGGTTTCGCCTGGTGGCTGCTTGATCCGAAGGACTCGCTGTGGGATTCCCAGGCGGCTCCAGCATTCCCGGGCCACGGAGCGGCTCCAAGGAGGGATGGGCAAAATGGGAATTCGGGAGGAGCCCAGGGCTCGCTTGGGATCCCAGAGTTCGGGATCTTGGAATCTCCCCCGTTCCAATGTGCTCCGTGCGCCGGATTCCCAGGCACCTCCCGCTCCAGAATTGCCTCCTCCGGAGCTTCCTCCTGCCCGGATTTCCCGGAGCCGCTTCCACCTGCCTTTCCCTCTTCCCAGAGCCGGGATAACCGCATTCCCGCTCCAAAGCCATCCCATTTCCCCTTGATCCCTTTCTTGGGGGGCCTGGCACTTTAGCGGGATCCGCTCCGGAGCGGTGGCCTCCGCTCTCCCATTTCCCCCGCAGCTTCCGAGCTCTCCGCCCTGGGAATATTTATTTTTCCCCCCCTTTTTCCTTGGCTGCTCCCGAGTTTCCAGCTGAATCCCGTCCCACTGGAGACTCCGGCTGCGGCTTTGCCATTTTTTTCCCCTTTTTTTTTTGGTTGGTGGATTAGGATTATCCCTACTTTTGGGTTTTCCGCTGGCACGGCAGAGCGCCTTCGGAATATTTTTGGCTAAAACGGGAATTAAATGGAGATTTAGTTTTTTGAGATGATGCTAATAAAAACTGAGGTTCTAAACTCGCCTCGCTCGGTGGGATCCCTTGGGATTTGCTTTTCCAAGCGATTCCGGCTCCTGCGGCACGTGGGAACTTGGGATGCGGCTCCCTCGGGCTGCCTCTGCCCGGAGCTCCAGCCTCAATTGGGGCCGTTAATCCCGACCTAATCCCATTGCTGGGATTAGGGGCGGATTTCCGCGCTCTTCCGCCTATTACGTGATTTCCGGCCTTGGAATTAAGGGAAAAAGCCATAGGAAAAACCTTGCGGTGCTGCCCAGGCCTCTTCCTTCCAGCTGCTCCAAAGGAATCCGATGGGATCGGAGCATGGAAACCCACGGGGCCACATGGATCTGGGAGCCACCCCCTATAATTCCTTATTCCAGGAGCTCCTTTTGGAAAATCCCACTTTGGGAAGCGGGAAAGGGACCCCGGAGCCACTTGGGGGGAGGCTCCGGAAGAACCAGATTTCTTAGGATTTTGGGGCTCCAACTTCTACCTCTTAAGGCGATTCCCTTAGGAATTTTCACCCCATTTGGGATGCAAAACCCCGTGGTTCGATGCGGAATTCCCCCGGGAATTCTCCCAGAATTCTTCCTGGAATAATTTCCCCTGGAAAACAGCCTTCCTGACTCGCGAAGAGCCAACAGGGGCTCCAAAGAGGGCAATTTTTTATTAATTTTTGGGCACAAAAGCTGCAGTTTTGTGGCCGCCGCCTCACCGGGTGCCGATGGTGACCTGCCACACGCGGACCAGGTTGTCCGTGTAACCGGCAAACAGCGTCTGCAGGGAGAAACGGGAAAAACACCTGGATCCCGGGAAGGGAAACAAGCCCCGGGGAGGCATCGCAGCCCCCGGAGGGGGATTTTGGGGTGAAAAAGGCGGGTTTTGTACCTGCCCGTCGGCGGACCAGGCCAGCGAGGTGCACTGGGGCGGCTCCGCTTTGCTGCTCGTGCTGATCACCTCCTGCTTGAGCTCGTCCACGATGATCTTCCCTTCCAGGTCCTGGGAAGGGAAGGGAAGCGCGTGAGGAAAAGGGGGCGGCGAGGCCGGGGACATTCCCGGAATTCCCTTCCCCGAGGGAGCGCTCGGAAACAGCCTCTGGGTTTTCCGCATGGGAATGCCCTTGGATGGCATGGGATGGCTCGTCACAGCGCGGCGGGAAGGGGACGGAAAGGGACACGGCGGGAAGGGGACACGGACAAGGGGACACGAAGGGACACAAAGGGACATGAGGGGGACACACAGGGAAGGGTTAGGGGTGGGAAGGGGACACAGGGACACGGGGGGACACAAAGGGACACGAGGGGGAGGGATGGGGTGGGAAGGAACATGAAGTGACACAAGAAGTGACACAAAGGGGACACAAAGGGAAGGGATATGGGTGGGAATGGGACACAAAGGGACACGGGGGGGGGGACACAAAGGGAAGGGATATGGGTGGGGACACAGGGACATGAGGGGGACACAAAGAGATATGAGGGGGACACACAGGGAAGGGTTATGGGTGGGAAGGGGACACAGGGACACGGAGGGACACAAAGGGACACGAGGGGGAGGGATGGGAAG